CAGCTACAACAGAGCATCATGTCACTGTTTGCCACTGCTTGTAATAATGAAGATATTGTATTGCTAAAATCAAGTTAAATTTACTTGTATTGTCCCTAAAGGGTTATTTATTTTAATTGTACAGACTTATACAAGAAAAAAAAATGTACATTATTGTTGTATTTTACCCCTGTTATTGTAATGAGCTCTGTTCTTATTTTAGGTATCTGCCACCTAAGGTTGAGTACGTAGTGTTCTGCCAGCCCTCTGAAACACAGTTGATGCTTTATGATGAAATTGTTGGTGCAAGACTCTTCGACAGTGTTTGAATAGTAATGATGTAGGAGATCATCTGTCAGCCATTATGGCTCTTCGTAAACTTTGTAACCATCCTGCACTTTTGGCACAAGATAATGAACAACATTCACACAAAGAAATGGCAATGGAATTAGCTAGTTTGCTTCCTGAACACATAAAATATAACCAATTTGATGAGGCTGTAAGTTGGTTTTGTTAAATTTGCATTTTAATGAGATAAAAATAAAATTAATATCATGGTAGACAATTACATATATGAATTATAAATTAGCAGAATTTAAACCACTAGCAGTATTTAGATAATTTTGCCCACACCCATCTTCATCTTGCCAGTTCCTTGCTGTCTATCATTATTAATACTCTTTCTTTAATATAGGATAGTGGAAAATTGGCTGTAGTGTCATGCATGTTATGGTCACTTGCTGAAGCTGGTGATGAGAAAATTGTTCTTGTATCCAACTACACATCAACCTTAGATATTGCTGGCTAATTTATGTGAGCGCTACAACTATCAATACTTGAGACTCGATGGTTCAGTCCCAACAGGGAAGAGGCAAGAATTGGTGGACAGATTCAACAATAAGTATTCCAAAGACTGTAAGTAATTCTTCTATATAACTGTTAAAGTACTAGCAATGAAGATAGGCCATGAATAATCTTTTTGATCAAATTGATTATTTATTCAAAGACTTATGGATCTCATGATCATCTTGCTTTTCAGTTGTCTTTCTCTTAAGTGCAAAGGCTGGAGGAGTTGGTCTAAACCTTATAGGAGCCTCAAGGATCCTTCTCTATGACATAGACTGGAATCCTGCAACAGACCTTCAAGCCATGGCACGTGTGTGGAGAGATGGCCAGCAGAAAAAAGTATATATTTACAGGTAGGATTATTTATTCAGTACCTATATAGTTCATCTATAGTAAGGTACATACAGAATGCAAAACATTCAGCTAAGTAGCAACATCTTTCACAATATTTTGACCCATGTCTTCTAAAGGTATCACTTCTTTTCAGGTTGTTAATGACAGGATCTTTAGATGAGAAAATGTATCAGAGACAAGTTAGAAAGCAAGGACTGAGTGGAGCTGTAGTTGATGCTCGCGACTCAGAGCGAGTTCACTTCTCCACTAAAGAACTCAAGGTTGGTAGCTTTATTAACTTGATGCAAAAGAAAATATTGTTCTCTGTACAAGAAAACGATTATGTAAACATATATGACATGTTCAAACACCAGAAATATTGCAGTCTTATCTGTAATTTTGTATACTCGCCATACTTTTCCTTTATTTTCTGTTCTCATGCAGTTTCCTTTATCATGATTGGTGGACAAGTAACTAATTTGAGTATCATACATTAAAAGAGAAAAAAAAGAAAGAAGGAAGGATGTTGAAATATTAAACCATGATACCTATGGGGAAAGAAAGAAGGACATTTAAGTGTAATAAACCCCATGTGCATGTTTAATGTAGTAGTTGTTTTTATGCATAGATCCTTATGCATCCTAAGTTATCAATGAGAGAATTACAAGTACTACCTGTCTCACCAGTTTGACCTTTTCCTTGATTTTTAAAAATATTTTCTGGTGTCTACTATTGCTGTCAATAATGTCAATACCACTTCAGCGATTATTATGCGTATGATAAAAATAACAGTATCAATATTGATAGCACTAGCAGAAAAAAAGAAAAGAAAAGGCAAACTCAAGGAAATGTGAAATCAGATAAAGTCACAAGGTCTACTAATTGACTCTTTTGTGGTTAAGGGACCGTCCCTGAGAGAGGGGGGGAAGGGGGTTAAATTGAGTTAGTTAGCGTATAGTGTAGGTACATGGATGAGGAAACTACCAAACGAGTATTAAGTGCCTGCTATGACTCGTTGTCTTGCAGCCAGCGCGCGAGTCCCTCAGCACCCAGAGAGGTACGTCGCTAATGAGCGCCCAGGTACACCTATGTGGACTTTTGCTTGTGGCAATCGTGCATAAGGCATTTAATTATGACATTGCGCATAGATATGAGTTCGTGAATGTTCAAGGAACACTTTTGACTTATGACGAAATATTTTGTGAAATATATCTAAAAAAAATGTATGTTTTGTGTCCTTTTACACACGAATATACTTTGATCGGACTCCCTGGTAATATGTTTTAGTTTACAAGGTAATATATACGTATATCACATACGAAGCACTAATGTTTAAAAATAGCCTTATAAGGAAGGATTGAAATATTTCCGTTACATTTCGCTCAACGGTCAGTACATCACAGCAGGGGGCATTTGAATTGATTTGAAATTGGTAGTTACCGTTGTAAAGACCAATTCAATACGAAGTGTTACCTAAATGTCAGATTTTTAAACTTCGGATATACAGATTATTTCATGTTGAAGATGATAGTACTCAGTAATACCTGCTCTGAAATAAAAACTATATGGAATTTTGAGCTCGGTTGTATGCGTAGTTCTTCGTCTGGCGTTCAAAAAGCTATCGCATCCGTTTCGTGCGTTCCGATAAAAATGAATATGTTTAGACGTTACCGTAAGTCTTAGGCACCATAAATTGGCAAATATCCCACAACACCTAGGCGTCTGCATGATTTTATGCACTTCTTAGTAAAGATAATGGATGCAAATGGCTAATCATAAACTTTACACTTGTTCTCCTTTGCAATCTGTTAATATTGACAATTATCAAAGAAAATGGTATGAGAGGGATAACTAATAATTTTATTATTTAGATATGAAAGTCAATGTAGGCCTACTAAATTATGATGATTAATCTTTTTATTTTTATGTGCGTGTTCACGTACATATGATCCTCCTCGAAAATTATAAACACCCAGTGACCATCTCCCCCCCTGTGTGAGGCATGGGAAATATTCAACAACTTTCGTAAGTTCTCGAATTCAATGTACTAAATTCATATGCTTTTAAAATTTTCAAAATTGAACCACCATGTTGTATTCATGCCAGGACTTTATAATTAGAATGATTTTGTACTAATGTTGCCATCCACAGTTCCCCATTTCTTAAAAAAAAATAATAATAAATAATTAAAAAAAATAAATAAAAAAAATAAAAAGTTTTTATCTGGTTTAGATTAGTATGGTAAAATGCATTTATTAAGCTTTTCACACGAAAATATCAACTTTTATGAACAACGAAAAAAAAAAATTACATACCTTTACAGAATAGCATTCCTATTGAACATGAAAATTCCTATTGACTTGGTAATCATTGCATTGCAAAGTACACTAAATAAGCATTTTTTTATATATAATATCATTAGATTCAGAGAAAAATAACAGAGATAACGAACTTTGGCAAGGGCCAAATACAAAACGCCGTAGCTCCGTCATTTTTTTATGAATCTTCGGTACATCCCAACTCACGTAATTTTCATGCGATCAAATGCAGTTTGTTGCTTTCACTAGAGCCTCGGTGTCCCAAGGCCATGTAAAAGGCCGATTTTTGAATTTTTGCCTTAATCAAAAAATAATAATATTTTAATGCTGAAAAAAAAAAAAATAGTTCTCTGTCAAGCCAAAAAAAAAAGGAAATTCAAAATTCGGCCTTTTACATGGCTATAGGCTATAGTTGATCTAACACAAGTATTTTTGGGGGAATATTCTGTAAAGAGCTGTGATAGTTGGGATGTACCGAAGACATACCAAAAAAAACGATTTTTTTTCGACTTTTTGGGGGTGCCCCCCAATGGGAGCAAAGTTAAAATTTATATATATAACGGAGCGCAATTCTTTACTCTATAGCATGCAAAAAGAATCAATCAGTTATCTCTAACCGATATTTTTTTATGATGTAAAGAGTAGGGAAAGGTGGCCATTCCAGGACGGTCCCCTTAAGTCATGTATGTGCAGAGACATTTCACAAAACAGTGCAACAGTGAACACATTTTTAGAGGCATTGGATTAACAGGTGCAGTGTTTTTAAGCTATATAAAATTTATGCATTATGAATAGCTTTGTTAAATTACTTGATTTTTTAAAACTGAACTATGTGATTAGAAAAGCACAAGCTTAGAAGTAACCTTTTTTGTTAAGTATTTATTTCAAAATGATATTCTTCAGTTCTTCCTGTTGGGAGCTATGTCTTTAATATATAAACCACGTTTTGCAGCTGATGAAATTATATATCAATAATGATAATACTATTATTTTATTATCATTTATTGTTTATTATTATTATTATTATTTACAGGACTTGTTCACACTTCATTCAAACACTGTCTGCCTAACACATGATATGCTACAGTGCTCATGTGATCTTACAGGCCAGACTATTGCAGTGCCAAACACTGAAGAAAACACTGAACCAGAGAGATGTATGTATACTTCTAGCTGATATTTCCTGCAGTGAAAATATTTAGAAAGAAAAGAATTATTACTAAATAAAATTAAACAGCTCAAGTTCCAGACATTGAAAACTACAGCACGTATTAATTTTCTTAATCAAGAGTAAGCCCTGGTAGAGAAATTATCTATATATATATATATATATATATATATATATATATATATATATATATATATATATATATATATATTTTTTTTTTTTTTTTTTTTTTTTTTTTTTTTTTTTTTTGAGATTATTTCACATGCTCAAATGTAACATTATTCTATGCCATAGCTTGTCAACTTGGAGACCATGGCCAGTCCAGATCCAGTTCTAACACTACAATGGACCAGTTACAGAAGTGGTATCATAGTGCTGCACCTTTCTCCCCAGAGATTATAAGGGTATGTACATTTTGTGAGTGAAAATATGAATCATCAACTTTCTCGTACCTTGTTAAATTATCATCAAAAATGTTTAACAGTTGGCAAATTCAGTTACTAAATTAACTAATATAAGGGCATCATATTAGCACTAGAAAGTAGAATAATTGGTTTTCAAATTAACAATAATTTATCTTTAACAGGATCCTTGTGTAGAGGCTGCCAATGACTTCATAACTTTCCTCTTTCATAGTGTGTCTGACAGCTCATGAAGGAAGGGGAGTTGCTGTTCAGACTGAAGCTTGAGAATGGATCACATTATTATTTTGTATTGGATATTAATGTATGGAAATGTAACTGATTAAGTAGATAATAATACTGCTGTGGTAAAAACAGGCAAATGTTTTTTTGTACCTTATATTATAAGAATATTTATTAAATTTATTAATGTTTGAAAAAAATTATTACCTTCATTAAAGGAACAGTCAATTAGCTGTTGGTTTTGTATTTTTAGGTAATTTTATTGCATACAGATGGCTCCACAACTCAGCACCAAGGAGCCAATTAGTAGGCCCTATGTGGCTCCACCTGATGTTCTTTTCTTTTTTTGGGGGGATGGGGGGGAGATACCATTAAGATCAGTACTGTTGTTCTTATTGACACTGTGATTGTTCTAAACATTATCAAAAGCCATTAGCAAAATTTAACCATGGAAAAGGGTAACTAGGTGAAGTACATTTGACCAGTAATTGATTCCAATGCGCTTGTGGAGCCAGCAATGTGTTAAATTAGAATCAGTAGACATGAAATGCCACCCTGGCACAGTGATTTAATGTTACCGTCCTGAGTGCCAAAATAGGCCTAGGAAATTTTGGTTAAGGAACTAGAAAAATATAACAAAAGGCACACATTTGGAATTATATTTATGATTTGTGAACTTCACCATTTTTTAAACTGTAGTGTAGAATTCATGTTTTTTTTTTTTCAAAGATCAACTACTGTTAGGTTTTCAGTTGCTCTTTAAAAAAATGTAGGTTTCAAATGCAACCATCACTTGGGGCTGTAGCTCCTGTAACAAAGTTGAAATCAAGAAAATTCAATTTTGAGCATTGAGACCATTTTAAGTATCTATATTTTGTTGAAAGTACTATCTATCAAGAAAGCTCAAACTTTCTAGTTGTATGTAAGGATGGCAGTGCCAAACCCAAATTTTACATTTTTTTTTTACAGTTCTTGGTAACTTTGTTTTTGATATGAGGCAAAGGATTCTAAATATGTCTTCAGATTTGCTATTCAACCCTCTAGTGGCCAAAAATAAAAAATAAAAATTCAGAGTATAAAATTTGTAATCTACATGATGGCTCCAGTATATAAATTAAAGGGTACAAGGCTTACTTAGGATCAGTGTTCATTCCCTGCTGGACATGCAAACCAGTGACATAGCCTGGAAATTAATTCCCAATACTTAAACGCCCAAGAAGAGGGTAGCTTTGCTAAAGGCATCTTAGCCATTCCTTTGTACGGACAGGAGTTTTTTTAAGCTACAAACCCTTGGACTTTTGGCCATTGCACAGGAACTCATCCTTAGTCTTGCAGCCACAAATAGTGGCAAACCTTGATCTGTTAACAATCAATTCATTTTCTCTTGTTATTCCATAGTAAATAATTCTCTACAAATATATACACTAGGGCCCCAAAAGTCATTTAGGACCACTATAACTGCAAAGTCTGGGTGATTTATATTATTTACAGGATGTTAAAAAAATCATGTTGAAGATTTCAAAAATATGATTTTCAGACTTTCAAGATGGTTTTTCAGTCATAAAATTTTACCCAAATATTTGCAAAGGCTGAAACTTCACAAACATATGTAGTTGACATTGAATTGATTGAAGGGGTTATCTAAGTTTGGGCTTACAGGGAACAAGAAATAGTCATGACCTTTCATTAGAAATTGACAATTGACATACCATGTGAATCAAGAAATTTTTCAAATTTTTGTAAGTATTTCTGGAAACTATAAACAAAACTACATCAGCTGATCTACTTTATTTCCACCCAAGCAGCTAATTTTCTATGGCCCATTTCACGTCACTGCCATCCCTAGTTTTATGCATTTTGTCCAAGATATACTTTTGGTTTTCATTATATCAGAGTAATAAAAATAAAGTAATTTTCCCATTTTTTGTATACTTGGCATTTTGGTCTTGTCCACATAAGTGAGATTTGATGTGTCTGTCATCAGTAATAGATAAACTAAGCAAAACTGCATAAAGGTTTTCCCTGATTCTTGGGGATGTATTGTAGCTTTGTTAGTTGTCAAGGTTGGGTAGTGGTTTAAGATAAAGGTGCTATCAGACACACAAACTTACATTGTATTTTCCACAAGCTATCGGTTCTTGTATTCTACTACCAACCATCAGACTTGACCAGGGAACTGGTCTTGCAAATTAAACATAAACTTAATAGATGATATTTTCTTCTTCTGTGATCCACGTCTGTGCTATATTTACACATTCATTTATTTATAGTATGGTACATGGCCTTCTAAATGCCTGTATATCATTTATACCATGTTGCATGATCTTCCCAAGACCTGTCTACACAAGCGGCACATCAGTGGGCACCTGTTAAGGTGACCCCAGGGAAATTTAGTTTACCAAGTAGTTTGTCCACTTGTGGCATCATCTCTACTTGTGTTAGCCTGATTCCTGCTTGTGTAGACAGGCCTTTGCTAAAATATATTTTTCCATATTATTGTAATGATAACTGAGTTGATACAAATTTGTTTAAATAAAACTGCATCACTTTAAGTTTTTTATGTGATGAAATTTTAAACTGTTTTTGTACAACTCCGTTTCATAAGATATCAAAATGGGAGTTTGCATACCATCCTCATGATACACCCATAGTTAAATGAATGCTGATCATGCCTGCTAAGTGAACAGACCTTTAAAGCCCCATCCATATGATCAAGCAATAATTGCAGGGCTCTTAGCATGATTGTGCAATGCCAGCAGTGGGCCCATGGGTGGGATAAATATGGTGTGCAGAAAGAAAGATAACAAATGTATACCACTATCACAATTGCTAGTTAAGATATGTGAAAAAGATAACATTTACCAGTTACTTTGAATGAATTTTGAATCAAAATTTAAATAACTGACAAGATATCCAGGATCTGATGTAATTTCTTGCCTGGGGACTGGTAAAAAGTTCCAGCATGGGCACTGCTTGTTTGCCTGTGAACAAGCAAAATATCAATCAAGAACTACCTATTCTTCATTAGTGCCAACAGCCACTGCTCATGTGAATGGACCCCCCAATCCCTTGCCTGTTGTTGTCATGGGGGGCTTAGGAGATGGAGACTGAGACCCAATGCAATCTCCCCTGCCTAGGGCCTCAGTCCTCACTCAACTAATTTTGCCCCCCCCCAACTAATTTTGCATGTTCTTTTCCTCCTCCAGCTTTTTGTTTCCATCCCTTCTCCAACCCCTTCTACTATCTACTTCCTAAGGTGTAAGAGCCATGCTGAAAAGATGAAAGGCTGACCTTGTGCCAGTCCTGAACGGCTTGCAGGAATCATGGGCACGATACTCCTGATTTATTGTCTAGGCCTTACCCTCTCAGGGCATAGGGGTGGACCGTTTATGCCACTTCATATAATCAAGGTTCCCCATGACCAGTAATGAAGATGTAATCCCCTTATTAGGGGCAATGAGGCTTGCCCCTTTATCAAATAGCCCCACCCCAGGCTCTCCTTTGATAATGACTCCGAACATTGAAACTACTACCCACTCTTCAATGCCTACTCCCCCCAATCCCTTGCCCGTTGTTGTTGTGGGGGGGCTTAGGAGACGAAGACTGAGACCCAATACAGGGATCTCCCCTGCCTAGGGCTTCAGCCCTCGACTCAACTAATTTTGCATGGTCTTTTCCCCTCCAGCTTTTTGTTTTTGTCCCTTCTCCAACCCCTTATACTATCTACTTCCTAAGGTGTAAGAGCCATGCTGAAAGGATGAAAGACTGACTTTGTGCCAGTGCTGAATGGCCTGCGGGAACTATGGGACAGTACTCCCGATATAATTGTCTAGCCCTTACTTTCAAGCGAAAGGAGGTGGACCGTTTATACCACTTTATATAATCAAAGTTCCCCATGACCAATAATAAAGATGTAATCCCCTTATTAGGGGCAATTAGGCTTACCCCTTTATCAAATAGCCCCACCCCAGGCTCTCCTTTGACCACGACTCCGAACACTGAAACTACTACCCACTCCTCAATGCCTACTAGTGCATTACCCACCCAATAAGAGACTCAATCTCCAGAAGACATTCTTACCCTCCTAACTTCCCCCCCAATCCCTTGCCCGTTGTTGTCGTGGGGGGGCTTAGGAGACGGAGACAGACCCAATGCAGGGATCTCCCGTCTAGGGCCTCAGCCCTTGACTCAACTAATTTTGCATGTCTTTTCCCCCTCTCAACACAACCTAACCCCTCAATTCCGTCCACCTCCAATATCCATCCTCCTGATATCCATCCCCTCTTACTCACAGCACCCCTACACCCTTCCTCCTAATCCCTCCCAAGACAACACATCCCCTTCAACTCCAACTATCCATCCTTCCGATATTCATCCTCCTACACTAATACTCCCCACATCTACTCCCTCCCAACACAACCCACCCCCTTCAACCCCAACTATAGGCACATTCTCCCTCCCTCCATCCCCTCTATCCTTTGCACTCCCTCCGGATACACACGAGAATCACTCATGGCACAACAATGCCCTTCTCCAGATCCCTACCTCCTAATATCCCTCCTTTACACCCCTAGCTCCTTCCCCAAATTCCCCAACACGTAAATGCGATATCATCATAACTAGTAGCTCTCCTACATTGGAATATTCGCGGTTTCCGCTCTCATAGATCAGACCTACGTCATATCCTTGCTTCTTATAATCCATCTATTATCTGCCTCCAAGAGACTTTCCTCACACACCCTCCTATTCCAATTCCTAATTACCATTTTATCTCTTCCCCACACTCCCTTTATGTCTCGTCTATACTTATCCATCATAAAACACCTTATGTCATACCTCCCATACAAACTTCTGTCCCGTGCACAGCTATTCGCATCTTTCTTCGCCGCTGGATCACAGTGATTTCAGTCTACTTCTCCCCATCCCATCCCATTGACTTTACTGCCTTTGAACTCTAATTTCCCAACTCCAACCACCTTTCCTCATAGTTGGTGATTTCAACTGCCGCCAC